GGGGGGTGGGCTCTGGGGCAAGAGTAAGTTAGTTAATTCATGCCCTGATTTGGCATAGAGCTGGGGAAACCTTGGCCGAGATTGTGGGCGTTGTTGGGCGGTGAGGCCTAAACCATGGCGAGGACATTGTGGAGAGATGGCGAAGGAGGCATGTCCATGCTTGTCTTGGAAGAGTCTGCTTGAATATAGTTAGTGTCTGGTATATGTTTTTTGCATATGCATACGCACGCGCGTTGGCTGATGGGGAAGTGAGATGTGCATTGTTGTGACAAAGCTGAGCTTCGGGGCCCGGCGACAAGCAGGGCCGGAATATTGTTTTTGCTTTTCCGAAGGAGTAGTGGATTGGGATCAGCTTGTCGATTGGTTTGCTATTTTTCCTCGCCCCCTTTTCTGTTCGCCTTTTCCCCTCTTTTTTGGAATAACAGAGTCAATGTTACATTTTCCCACTAGTATGACGAGCGGTACCCTATACCCTAGGCACCTACTAGACACTAGGTACTAGGTAGCTTATGATGCTACTGCGGACCTTGGCCAACTGTTGACTGAAATAGAATGCCAATCTTTCTGGAGGATTACCCAGCGAGGTAGCGTAAAAATAACACAAGAACGGTCATCTTGAAAATGACTTGTTCTTGTATCTTTTTCCAACACATGATGTGTCTCTTGGTGCCCTGTCCCTCTTGCCCATCATGTACCTCTCCAAGAGTAGTACGAGACGGGCACCAAGTACCTCTACTCGGACCTCAACTTCATGACGCTGATGCTGGTCGTGGAAGAGGTCACAGGAAGGAAGTTGGACGATAACATGTACGAGTACACGTCCCTACTGTCTGGGTATGCACAGCACCTTCTTCAACCGAGGCAACGTCGAGGGTCCCGAGTTCAAATACTACAAGGAAATAGCCGCGCAGGAGTTCCAGATCTCGGTTGAGGGAGACGTCCCGGGGCTCCGGCAGCGCCCGCAGCGCGTCCGTGGAACCGTCCACGATGAGGACACCTGGGCGCTGGACGGCGTGTCGGGCCACGCCGGGCTCTTCTCCACGGCCGGTGACACGGCGCGGTTCTGCCAGATGATTTTGAACAACGGCACCTACGCCGGGCACAGGATCCTGTCCGAGGCGTCGGTCGACCTGACCTTGACCGACTTCCTGGCGGATCTGGGCGAGGATCACGGCGTCGGGTTCGAGCTGAACCAGTTCTACACGGCGGGGCCCAAGGCCAACATGCTGGCGGCGAGCCACACGGGCTTCACGGGCACGTCAATGGTGAGCAACCGCGTGCATTGTCGAGGAAATGGAGCAGCAATAACAATGTGAGGAAGACGCTGGGCGCCTGGGCGGCGACGGCGCTGGGGAGGAGGGTTGAGTTTCTGGTGCAATTAGTTTTGGTACCCATGTTGCCATGTACTAATTGACGCTCCAATACACCTCTGTAGTAAAGGCTGTAATTGGTCATCTACACGAGAAATATATAATCTTTCCGAGGCGACAGTACCAACAGGCCAATTGGTTCAGGGTGCCGGGGGTCAAAGGCTACTCCGCTTACACCGCACGGATCATAGGACCCAGTTTTGCCGGTCCACGGAGGAGGACAATTACCCAAAAGGGTGGCCAGCCCGGACGACGGCCGCTGATTCGCCGGCATCTCATCAATTCTCTCAACTACACTCGTGGCCCCACCCTGTGTCTCTTCGACCAAGTCAATCGAGCTAGATGACTATGTTGTCATGGTGGAGAAAATACTCTACCGTCGGCTCTCTCTTTTTTTCCCTTTTGTGCTAGGCCTTAGATCCCTGGTGGCAATGTTACATTGAGATGCACCGCACGAGGAAACCGTGACCTGAGTTTTGATGGCGGCTGTTTCGCTTAAAAAGACGGACTGGTTCTGTTTGTCGGGGGAAGAAGCAGATCAACCCCTTCATCTTCAGAGAAGTAAGGGAGAGAAAAAAACGAGAGCATATCGAGGGGCTCAACTTCCCGTAATAATGCCAAATTACACCCTCCGCAAATCGCTGGTGGCAGCCACCGTGCTGCTGGCGGCTAGTCGAGCCACGGGCTGCGACGAGCTCGACATCCTCGCCGGCCAACACGTCGTGTATTCCTTCCCGTCGTCCAGCCAGCCCCCAGACGAACTGGTGAGGCTCACAAGGGCCGGGCTCGTCGGCGGCGTCATCCTATTTGGCGTCAACGTCGACGCCAACACCTCGCAGGCCATGTCGGCCCTGAAGCATGCATACGACTCGTCGCCCGCGCCGGCCCTCCTCAAGAAGAAGACGGGCAAAGACGCGCGCTTCCTAGTAACGACGGACCAGGAGGGCGGGCAGGTGCGCCGCATCAAGGACGGCGAGCCGAAGCTCAGCGCCAAGCAGATCGGGGCTTCCGCCGACCCGACCGCCGCGGGCGAGGCCGCCGGTGCGGGCTCCGCC